ATACTCACCAGATACTGTACTTACTCAGCTGATCTCTGAAAGTGGAAAAGGAAGGGGATGTACGTGGTCTGCACTGATCTGCCTGCCATCTCTTCTCCAGGTACACAACGTACACGAATCCAGACATCCACCTGATCTAAAAGAAAACGTGATTCTTCAGATCAGGAAACTTTATTTCATTGGTCCATGGTCCAATTCTGATGCTCTCATCTCCATTGAAGGAGCTTTGGCCGTTGGACAGGGTCATCAAAGGCACTATGACTGCTCCACGGCTATTCAGTCCCATATGCAGCAAACTGCGACACACTGTGTTTTCTCACATCTTACTATCATGGCCAGCATTTCTTTCAGCAATTTAAGCTAAAGTAGCTCTTCTGTTTTCAAAACACGATGCGCTAGCATTCTCTCCCCACGTGCATCAATGAGCCTTGGGCACCCCTGGCTGACGCCAGTGATCCTTCCTTGCACCAATTTTGGTAGGTACTAAACATTGCATACCGAGAACACCCCACAAAGCTTGCCATTTTGGAGATGCTCTGACACAGTTGTCTAGCCATCACTATTTGGCCCTTGTCAATGTCACTCAGATATTTTTGCTTGTCCATTTTTCCTGCATTCAACATGTGAAGTCCAAGAACTGATTGTCCACTAGCTGCCCAATATATCCCACTGTAGCGATATAATCAGTGTTATTCACTTCACCAGTCAGTGGGTTTTAATGTTGTGGCTGATCAGTGTATTTACCTGTATGTTTTCCAAAAAGGCAGATGTCCCACAACCTTAATGTAGCCCACTGCTTCCTTCTATTAAAATTTTTCCAATCACAAATAGTTTAGGTTCCTTCTACTCCTTGGTTTGGAATCTCAAGCTCAATATAAAGACAACAAAAAGACAACAAAACAGCAGATAATTTTCTGTCTGTTAAACTTCTTTTGACTTCTTAAAATTACTATTTTTTCGGCCAAAGTAACATCAATGCACACATTTTATCTCCTGTGTAAATTCCTGCATGTTTTCCACCAAAACAGAAATGTTTTTTAGGATATCCTACAGAATGCTCTTACGGGGAAATTGATAATCCTCACATTTTTTAGTTTCCCTATTTGGCATGAAACTGTGTTTTTCCTTATCCAATACCCTACTCCATACTGTTATGTGAACACTGGCATCCCATGGGTATAAAAAAATGGAACAATATAGGCACCAGAACAACAACTTTAACTTTAGGGATTGATGTTGGTGCATAGATCATGCCCTTGCCATCTCATTGGAAAATTTGCCATTTTTCACATTAAATCACTTTGTTTATGGAGTCCTAGCCACACCTCCCTGCATGTAATCTACACATTCTACCTACACATTTCCTGTAAATAAAAATCTAATGTTTAAACTCCCTTTATTGCACAGTTTGTTTAATATAGAATTTCTGAAAAGAAAGAAAATGTCTAAAGTAAACAGTTGCAGCATGTAGGATTTGATTGAAAATTAATATATGCTAACCAGATTTTTAGTCGCCTGATTCAATTTTCTACAATATTTTGGTTGACCTTCAAGTCTGGAAGCACACGATATATGTTTAGTGGTAAGAGAGTATATAATTTCTATAGTCGTGCGCAGCCTATTGCATTAGGGTGTGCACCCTGAAGCACAAACACACGCCACGAGGGATGCAAGTAAGTGACAGAAGTTTGTTTTCCTGGCACTATAGTTTCCCTTTAATGCAGTGGTGCGTTTTTAAGGTAAAACAATGTGTGTGAATTCAGAGGGAGCTAATCTAAGACCCACAGCAACTACAACATGCTGTGCTTAGAGCAGGCCTTTAATGGACATCGCTGTATGAGTTTTCTCTCTTTTTTGTCACTTGAAATCTCCCTACTGCAATAATTCACCTACCTACTTTTATCCTTTGATTGAAAATGAAAACATTTTTTTCACGGTGGCAATGTGAGTCAAAACCAGAATACGTGTAGCTAGGGCTGCATAAACAGAAACAAATATTATTTCACACTTACATGGTGGGGAAGTGAGCTTTGAATCTGCAGGGACATGATCTATACACCTAAACTGCTTCATTAATCTAAAGATGTTTTGGTGCTCAGAGTATCCCTAAAAGTCCAATATCTTACAAACAATGAAAACAATACACAATTTTAAGGAAAATGTGACTTTATGAAAAACAGATCAATTACAGTCAACACCCAACCCTACCTCCCAACAACTATGTGACTTCAATATTAGATAGAGGGCTAAAAATGTTCTAAGTACATACAGTAAAGGAGGAAACAGACCGTTCATATGGGATCTGTGGCAAACATCTCTTCTACAACTTTAGCAACTTCTAACAGAGATATTGAACCCCTTTACACCAAATAACATTTATACGCAGCATGGCATAGGGAGGTTTTATACTCCAACCCTTTGCAGACATGCTTCTCATCATTTTAATAACTTGCACATTTAAGGAACTACATACTGTATTCTGGCTTTACTATAACAAATCTGATATCTTTTCTAATACCACTAAGCAAAAGGTTAGATATTGTCTTTTTTTGCCATTAAATAAGGGGATACGAATAAACAGACATTACAAATGTATAAAATTACTTTCCAGGACACGAAACAACCCAATTCTAGTGGTCGTATTTTTGTATATAAAACTTGATGGTGAAGGAGTTAAATACCCTTCACATATTTATGCTGCAGATTACTGAAAACTACCACTTTCTTTGGTTCCAATTGAGAACGAAGATTTACCCGTTAACAAAAGCACAGCTGACAGAGCCGATATAATGTATAGGGTATTAGTATGCTACTTTATGTTGATGCATGATAAAATAAAAACTTGACAAAAAAAAAGGGTGTTATTTGCAATGGGAAATTCACAAGAGAAAAAAATAAAAATAAATCCACAGCTGGATTTCAAAAGAAATTAGGTTGTATATAACATGCGATCTTGCTGCATAATTTGTCGCTTTTAAATGTTTTCATTGCATATGAAATGTGATAATTTTTTTTTGCAATTTTGTTTGAGTCTTTGTAACTAAACTATTCAAAGTGGAAGAATGATTGTTTCTAAAGTGTTTATTTCAAACTCTAAGTGACTGTAGAGTTAACAATCGCCCTGCCTAAATCTTTTGACTTTTCTCAAACAATTCTTTTGGCTGTTGTATTTGAAGGTTTTATGTATACTATTCTCCACTATTGTACTGTAACTATTGTTCTGTATCAAGAACAATGTTAAGCAAACAGCACAAACATTCTATTTGTTCCCATAGTGATTGCTCCACTTTTAGAACTTTGCTTCACAAATGGTCTCTTTTAAACAACACATGGTATGTCATATTGCATTCAGCTAGATAAGGAGAGAAGGACTCCTTTCAATGATCTACATGAATGGACTGGTAGTGTCTTTACAGCAACAGCTTGTAAGCTGAGGTAGCCAACTTCTGATACTATTTTTGCGGAATTTGACTTCCGTCAAGACTAGACCCTTGGCTGCATGAAAACTATGGTGTTTTTAGAGGACAGCAGCAGGTGATCGAAGACATGGTCTGTCATCGGGATAAGAAAATCCAGGGATTGGTAGAAAAGCCACAAATACCTGAATGTTTATTCAGGTAACAATGTTTGACTACAACTCCCATGATTCTTTCAACCACGGCATTGCAGAGCATTGTGGGAAAATAAGTGCAGTTTGCTATCCTGGTTTAGAAATCAGGGAAAAGATATTTGCAGAATTGGATAAATTGACTTGACATTAGGTCATGACACTGAAACTGATGCATCATTCACATTAAGGTGTATAGTATTCAAAGTAATAAGTCTAGCTCTGTGTCACGACAGGTTTATATCCACTGTATGCAACAGTTTGTGGCACTGCAATAACAAGCTTGATGTAGAGTCCTATTATTTTATAAGGAAAACATCGGCAGGATAAAAATGAAGAATAAATGCAACCATTTTTCTGGCTTCCTAAGATCACGGATAAAAGTATATAAAAACATTGGGAAAAAGATTATTTGACATTAAGATCATACATCAAAAAGACAGTCACGGATTCAAAAGAAAATAGACAGACTCCAAAATACATTTTGATACTTTATAAAATGTGTAACAGAAGGTTGAAAAAACATTTTAAATATCCAAGTTACTGCGGACTATTTCAATACCAATAATAAAATAAATTGGAGTAATGCTTGTCCCACAAGATTCCCAAGTACCAAAAGGGGCACAATAAGCAGAGGAGGGTAATGACTTACACACTCCACTAACACAGTGATTGCTAATCTGTTGGCTGGCAAAGCATCCCTGTAACTTCTCCCCACACTGAACAGAAAATTAATACAATAACTGTCTGCCTAGTTTCCTCTATTCTATCTTACAGCTTTTCAGGCAGTATGCATTTTTATAGTAACTGAATAAACAATACGACCCGGAGACTTTTAACCTAGTCAGTACAGTATTAAATGCGGACATTTTTCAGCTATTGTGTGAAATGACAAGGTTTCGTGGTACTTGAAACTAACATACTGGTCAATCATTCCCAGAGTCAACATAGAAATCAAGTGATACAAGTTCAGTGCAACAAATCCGGATTTAGCAGCTTGACAAGATAAAACAAACAAAAAACAAAATATGAATGGTCCAAAAAGCTTAAGTAGTTTTAAAGACTCCCAAAAGAACTTCAAGTTGCAGTTCAGAAAGATGAGAAGTTATTTACACTCCAACAAGTGACGAGTATGAGATGCTAGGTAAGGTCTTTATGCCCCAAAATGTACAACATAAAACGTCTCTTTTTAGGTCAGAATGTTGCTGTAAAATGGATTCTATAAGTTCAGAATGCTGATCTCCGAATGACAAGGACCAGTTTTAGAAGGTAATAAGAAGCTTTAGAAAAGTCATAATTTCACAGATCTAGCAACACATTTCCTCGTATTGAAAGAGTTAGCCCTCAGAGGACATAACCAAAACAAGACAACGCAGCTATAAAAACAGTCCCCCTAGCAAAACACATTATCACTGGAGTTAAAACTGGCATATCCCGGGCTCATTTGATGCAACTGGGGCATTCTAGATTCCAGAGGTTTTTCCATTTTGGGTGAGACTACTTGGCTCCTTTTTCTCAACATTTGTCCAATTCCCATCATAGGGAATCTACCTCTGCTTCGTACACAGTTCGGGCTTCCTAAGTTTCCAGGAATGTTGTTATTGCCTGACGGAGAATAAGGTGAAGTGGGAGACATAGATTCGGAACTAGAAGGGCTGCTTTTGTCGTCGTAAGTGAAGGAGGCTTGGTTGGAATGAGTTTTCATCGGTGTGGTGTTGTCAAACTGGAAGATGGGGGAAAGAGTTCTTTCATTTGAGTGCCTTGGAGAAAATGATACCGGAGACCCCAAAACTCTGTATTGGTGAGAGGGAGATAAGGATTCGATTTGGTCTTCCCTGTTGACAGACTCAAACGAACGCACAACATTCAGATGTGTATCCCTCAAACGGCCTCCGATGTTCATATTCACGTTCACAGCTTCCTGTGAGTGGGAATCTTGACGTCTCATAATTTTGGGGGTTCTTGGATCAGGACTCTGCAGTTCCAAATATTCCAGAGAACACGAAGTTACACATCCCTTTTTAGGTAAACGGAGCTCATGGAATGGGCTTAATCCTCCAATGGACTCTGTCAACAAATAAAAAAATGGTTTTAAATAATAGAGTTCTTTTGCATCAGGTAATATATAAAAGAATTCTATTTGAGTATAAATGCACTTTTTACACACGGGAGAAAAGTAGCTGCTGGTATTGTATAGCAAACTGCAAAGATCTATTTTTTGTTTGTGTGTGGTGTCTAACGTATGATTATATTCAAGCTAGCTAATCTAAATGACTACTTTACTTAATTTTGTGTCTTCAGGGGGAGTTGGTTAAAATGCTTGACATTAGCAATTATCAAGCCTGGCCTTAAGGAGACCTGATCGAAATTTAGGAATGACTCCTCCAGTTTCCTCTCACCAATCATTATTTAATTTTACTAGTGTAAAAGCCAGTAATTATATAATACAGTCAGTAACTCACAGACTAATAAAGTCTTAAGTAGCTTTAAAAAAAACAAAACATTTTTGTATCACAAATCCATTGCTAAGTAAACTCCCTCTTTTCAGTATGTAATACAGATTAGATTAAATTAAGTAAACGTATACATCTGTAGTGTTTTGATCAAAATGTCTCTAGGTTCCCAAATGAATTAAAGGGATACAATAGGTACCAAAATAACTTCAACTTAATGAAGCAGTTTTGGTGTATAGATCATGTCAAGCAGTCTCACTGCTCAATTCTCTGCCATTTAGGAGTTAAATCACTTTGGTTATACAGTCCTGGTCACACCTCCCTGCCTGTGACTTCCACAGCCTTACTAATCACTTAATGTGAAGTGAGATTTAATGTTTAAAATTCCTTTATTGTACATTCTGTTATCTCCTGCTATGATAATAGCCTTCTAGACCCTGCAGGAGTCTGTGTGTGATTAAAGTTAAATTTACAGAGCAAGAGATAAAAAAAAAATTCTAAAGCAAGTTAGCATCTGATTCAAAATTAATCTCCTCCAACCCCGTTGAAGGAACATAAACAAAATGTGATTTAACTCCTAAATGGCAGAGCCGTGACCAGTGAGACTGCAAGGGCATGATCTATACACCCAAACTGCCTTGTTAAGCTAAAGTTATATTGATGCCAATAGTAGTGTCCCTTTAAGCAAATTCTTAAAATGTTCCGCTGTACAGGTTAGAAAAAGCTACGTATTTATCTTACAGTAAGTAGATAGAGACTGCACAACAATATATTGGAGAAAAATATCTCAGCAACTTTAAAACACATAAGAAGGGATCGGATTAGGATTCTTTAAGTGCTCACCCCTGTCTGATTTGGAAGAAGATCTTCTCTCCTTGAGAGGGGCCTTTGAATTTTGGGCTGGCATCATGAGACAGTTTGGTTGTCTGTGGGAGGGAGATCCTTTGTCTATTTTCTTCTGTGCTGCCCTCTGATGAAGATCTGACCTTTTCTCTGGGTCCTTAGCCTTTCTCTCCTAGCAAACACAAAATACATATATTTTTATTACATGTATATATTGTACATAACAAGTGAGGACATAGAAAAAAATATATCTACACATCGCTCTTCATACATAACAAACCTCTTGAAAACGAGGACATACTTAAAAACGAGAGAAATCTCAATGTATCTTTCCTGGTAAAATATTTTATAAATATTTTATAAATAAATAATAAGTACCTCCCTGTCAAAAGCTCCATGGCTTGCAATCCTACAATATATTTGGTGTAGGAGCCATTAGCTCCTAGTTAGTGGTGCTTGTCTGTTTTATTCAGCTGTGCAAAGTGTGTGCTCATTTAACCCCATAAGTACCAAGCATGTGATACGTTTTCAGCAAAGTGAGCTTCAAAGGCCATCCATGTGTCGGTCATGTGATTTGAATTGACTGCTACCTCGATGGAGGGAAGAGAGCGAAACAAAAATGGTTCATTTTTGTTTAAGGAGAGATTTAAAAAAAAAAAAATAAAAGACTTTTACATTTTATTTAATGAAAAATTATTTTAAAAGATTTTTAATGGGGTGGGGAACACACATCTTACTTTTCCAGTGTCATCTTTGTTTGAAAGGCAGAACAAGATAGGATACGTTATCGGGCAGATTGTGTGATCATTCTGTCCGTTAGATGTAGGACAGTTTGCCCTATGATGGACAGGTGTCACATAGCGATTGTCCTGTAAATGGTTTCTGGTGATAGGAAGTCAGGCTCACACCAGATTCCTATCACTGTCACCCTCCAGCTCTGTAAATCAGTATCATGGAGATAACTGTGGGGATAAGAGGGGTTACCCAGCAACAGGATAACCAATAAGTAAAGACTTTGCATGCCAACATTGTAGCTACATCAGTGTAAACTGCAGGAGTACATTGCTGGGGGATGGTAAAGACACCAAGATAAAGCACTGTTAACTATTTATGTGACAGTTTGTTAGCTACGTGACTAAGAGCCTGGCAGCTTAATCTAGGCATCAGTCAACAGGCTGTCCTGCAACTGAATTTTCACTTATTAGAAAACTTTATATATTATTTTTCCAATTTTTAAAAAAATATTACTACCAGTAGAACATCTGTGTGGTTCATTAAAAAAAAAAAATTATATTTTAAAAATATTATTATTAAAATATTATTAAAAAAGGGGCATTTTAAAATAAATATATATAAATAAATAATATATAATATATATTTAAAAAAAAAAATACATATTGACAATAGAATTTCTTGCTTTTGTGATGTTTTCCTGTGTCATTTATCACAAGGTTTAGGTCATTATAAAAATAAAAAAATAAAAATTAAAAATGACTGGATGCAACTGAAGTCCGTGACAGTATGCAAAGCGTTAAAATAAGAGATTGTTACAATGTATTATTTGGCCAATGGCAAAAAGGATAATGGACTCTCTGCTTTGGCAAACTGGAAGGAATTCTATCACAGGGCAAGCTATTGATTGAAAAGATAGCAGCTCTCACAGGTCAGTGAAGAGGAGCAGGATGCATGGTTAGTTTGTTTGTATCACCCACACCAGACACATCCTTTACTTTCATTCCAATAGAAAGTGAAGATCTGTAGACTTCCTGTTCATTGAGAAGAGAATAGGGGATAGGAAACTGCTCCCCTGCCCATCGCACTCAACCGATTCCTCTGCTCATGTCCAACTATTGTGTTACAGCCTCGGCTATTGTGTTACAGCCCAGTCATCAGCACAAACCAGTTAAATAAATTCCGTCAAGCCTTCATGTGTCCCCTATTCTCTCTCATTTATGTGACATACTAACCTGTGCACATTTTAAATGGGAAACATTTTTTTTAAATGGCTTATTCACTAAAGTGTGAATCACGGAGAACTGACAAGTGAATTTTACATTTTATCCCAAAATATTTGAGCCAGGAAAAAAAGAAGCATTTGAGATTCTTTCCAAAATTACTATTTTGAACCAATCCTCAGTGTGGTCGATTCACAACACAGTGCATTGTGGGAAAGTGAGAACAGACTATGCAAGAGTCACTGACAGAAACAGGCAGGCAATGAATCCACTGAAAGATTTGGATGTTCACCTCATAGGAGTTTTTGTTGATCCTGTACTTCTCAGATTGTTGCACCGGGCTCTTTGGGCAAAAGTTGTCATTAATGTCAGGTTTCTGGCAAGAGATTAAAAAAAAAAAAAAAGATGGTAATTACAGGCTGAATCACATTACAATGAAAAGACCAGCAACAAACAGCCTTTTCTGGGCAATACTGCTCTGGATCTACATAATCTCCTCTTAAAAGCCCCTATTATCAAACACCTCGAATTCTCCATAGCAAGTTCCCACAAGCTAACCCCCCCCAAGCATTCCATGAGAACTGGACTTAAATCAAAGGGTCTCCTTTTGGTAAAACAAACATAAATTAGTTATGTCCCCAGGGGTAAAAATGCTGTGCTTACGGAATCCCCCGCAGCCGACAATTAATACACTAATTACACTGAACTTACTCTCATGGTTATTAGGTAACGCTCCAACTTTCGGTTTAGTAAGAAGTAGACGGTGAGGGTATGACACGCGCGGTTGGAGAGGATGACATTGATGACATCACTGTGTTTATACCCAAGCTTCTCTGACATGTGGAGTACCACGTTCTGACTAAGGTCTTCCAGGTGGATCCTTAGGAAAAAGGACAGAAAATCAATTTACGTGATAAAAAGACAGTGAGCTAACTTATCTATGCAATGTCAAAAAATAAATAAACCACCAAACAGAATTAAACCCAAAATGGAATCTGTATCATCTTTTTTTCTTTTTCACGGTTAGATCAACAAACGTGCCGTTTGTGCTGTGAGTTTTACAGGGGTGTGAAGTTTCCTTTAGGCATGTAGAAGCTGTAAAGTTTAGCACTTGAAACAATGTTATGTGTAAGTGAGACAAGGTTTAAACCACAAACCAATGACTCCTAGGCAGGCTGTATAAACAAGACCATGCACAAAATCCTGCTTTAAAGGGACACTCCAAGCACCCAGACCACTTCTGGGCAATACTGCTCAACTCTGGATCTACATAATCTCCTCTTAAAAGCCCCTATTATCAAGATCATTGGAGTGGTCTGGGTGCCAACTCCCACTACCCTTAACCCTGCAAGTGTAATTATTGCAGTTTTTATAAATCTATCAGACAGTCACTAAAAGGACTTCTGTGTTCTTAGAACACAAAAAGTGTTTTAAACAACGCTTGACGTCCTCACGCTATGCATGAGGACCTCCAGTGTCGCCGGAATCCCCATAGAAAAGCAATGACTAATGCGCCATCTGACGTCGGCGGGAGAGGAGCGTGGGCAGAGCCTGACCCTGCGCCTGTTTTAACCCCATCAGCAACATTGGATGGGGTGTGGGAGGGACCTGCAGTGACAGGAAAATGTATATGTTTTCTTAGCACTGGAGAGACCCTTTAAACAATTTTAATGGGTTTTTCACTAAATAGTGAACTGGCAGAAATTGAAACAGATTTCAAAGCAAATTTCTAACTTTAGCTAAATTGGGAAAATTCTACAAGTCCGTTCTGCATTCGGTACAGCTATTCTGGCTCCAAATTTTTGTAAACTTCCTGCTGGCTTTTTTTTTTCCCCTCCAGACAAGATTACCAATTTAGGGCTACTTTCTATTATGAGAGATCAGCACATATAGAATATTTGAATAGCAACATTCCAATGATGTCAAAAGGGAAACTACTATTCAAAGACCACAGTTAAGCTCATCTCTTTTAGTGGTCAGATTGACCAGAGCACAAATTTGTAGAAGTTTATAAAAAGGCATAAACAGAAAAAAAGAATGCTATTACTTATTTAAATACATCTTGGAAAAATATAATTTTTTTTAAATTTAATTTTATTTTTTAATCAGTGGTCCCCTGTTCTACACCGACACTGGGGGTGGCACGGCCAACACAAATATAAATATATAGAAAGCCAGATTGCTTCCCCATACACCATAATCAAAACCTATTGGCTGCCTACGCATTGCAATAAGAGCATTTTCAGCCAATAACAGCTCTCAAATCATTGAGAAGCTGTGAACATATTATTCTTTGTATAAACCATACCTCAACTGCTTGTGAGGGTAGGGGGGAAAACGGTAAATATGCTATTGTAAGTTCTTTCTAGGTTTCTAATACACTAGTCATTATATACACTATATCTCCACCTCATATGAGGGTAGGGGGATACTAACATTTATGCTTTAAGTTTTATTTAGGTTTAAAATAAACACTATGATTGTTTTGTAAAAGCACCTCAAGACATACATGAAAAAAAAAAAAAAAAACACATTGAAAGCACTCTTCCAAAGTACATAAAATGAAATATTTCCTTGATTTGGTATTTTACCCAAAGAGTCGTGTTAAACAACAAACAAGACTTCCCTACTAACAATGATAAACATAGTTAATCTGATTAGTAGACAGGAGACTGAACACGGTAAAAGGTGAACAGATATTGTGTACGAGAAGTATCAGTAATTGAGCAAATCCCATTCGAGATATCTGCTAAACGAGTATTATACTATGCTCACAGTCCAAAAGGTCTACAATAGATGTCAGACTAAGGAAAGGAGAGGTACACAGGAACTCACCTGTTGGGGTAGGTGACTGTATGTGTGCCCTTGCCATGGTAATTCTCATTCAGCCAGCGATTGGCCAGCGCTTGCTGGATATTTGGTCTCTTTACTGGATCTGGTTCCAGCAGAGATCGAAGAAAACTTACAGCACCTGAGATGGGAGAAAGTATAAAAAAAATAAAATAAAATAATAATAATAATAATAATAATAATAATAATAATAATAATAATAATAATGTGGAAATTTATTAGAAATATGTTAGAATATTTAAGTTCCCATCCAGCAGAACATGCACTAAACACAGCTGGCTGAGGACTATGAGAGCTGTAGAAAAACAGCAGGTTTCCCGACGTTGACATAATCATGCAGTTTACCACTGTCAAAGTGTCACTCTAACCACCAGACCGACTTTGCATCATTTATAGTACATTGAACCCCCAGTCACTCTATCACATCATACAGTTTCATGATTCTCTGACATTATCTGTGGAATGTGACCACCACCTCTGCTGTATGAGATCCCTGTAACTTGTTTGTTTAAGTGTGTGTACACACAGACCTCTCCATCATCCATTCTGGCTCTGGAGGCAGCCGGGCAAGGGCCATGCATATTTACTGTGCACGTCAGCTAGGAGATAGCAGCCTCGGTATTTCTGCTCAGATTATTGGGTAGTTCCACTTATTCTATATAATGAACAGAACTGGGACTATGGCTAATGTGCGAAACAAAACAAAAAAAATAATTGGTGGATTTTCTGCCTGATCTGGTAGGGGCCTGTTTGTCCATACATGTGCTGCAACTTTATTCCCTTTATATTTTAAATAAGAGTATACAGAAAGCTTCATTCTAATGGGAAGACAGCATGTGTACTGTGAAAACTGGTCCTTGGAGCATGTGACACGTACAGTCATTGAGAAGCATGCAGCTACACGTGATTCATCCAGCTGACGGCTTATGAATGGATTAAGAAACGTGGCAATATTTACCAGGAGAGAGGTTGGCGGGGAGAGGATTCATGTCTTTGTCTACCATCTTCTGGTACAAAGCTCTCAGGCTGAAAGGCTCCACAGTAAATGGCAGAGTGCCAGTCAGCATGGCATACATGTTCACACCACTTGATAAAAGAAAGAAAAATACATAAATCAAAATCCTTGATTACACATACCACAGCAACCTATGCTTAATAAATATAGATTTTTCTTTTTTAGTTCGCTTCACACTCTCCTCTAGCGTCTCCTTTGTAACCTGGCATCGGCTATGAAAGCTGCTGCGTTTCGTAGAGCGAAATGAAAACCGCATAACGCATGACCATTGTTATGCAAACGCATAGAACACGGTGTTCTGAATAGTCAAGGATTTCTGCTTTGGATTACATAACACTTTGTGACCATGAAATATGATTACTGCAGGAGAAGACTTATGCAGTATTATTTCACATTTTTATATTCAAATAACGAACCTACACTACGAGAGTAAAATTAACATCAAGTCTGGTCATTGCGTCCGTAAATTTGTTTATTTCACCCTTTAAGTCCAATACAGGTGTGATCCACGTATTACCGACCTTTCCAGCTACAATAACTTCAATAAAACAACGAAAACTCTGTAGAATGGTCGGGAACCTCAATTCAGCTTCATTAAATGACAGTCATGACTGCTTGAGTTCCCAACCATTTAGTAACATGTAGCTTCTCCAAAATTACTTAACAGATATAGGGACCAAGATACAGGCCTCCAAATAGTCCCACTTGTGGGGTAATCCCGAATTCAAGGTCCTGTCCCCCCGCCCTGCTATAGTTCCTTGGTGTAACCCATCTGGAGATACCAGGGAATTGTGCAATTATGCAAAGCGCATGCATATCAGCCTGTCAGTGGGCATGACTGCCCCTTTCCAAGTGTGCCTGCCAATTACACTCCATCCCAAATCTATCATCCCAATTGTTTCTAAGATTCTAAAAGCTTGTTTGAATATGCCCCCCTGCCTCCCCCCCCCCCCCCCAAATAGTTTCTTAAAATTTTCCTTTGGCAATTATTTGCGTTTCTATAACGTCAGTGTAATATTATAGTGTGAGTGTTGAGGAATAGGTTAGGGTTTTATAAATAACATTTAATAGATTATACACACACACACACATTAATATATAGATAGAACTACTGGGCGCTTCACATCTTTTGCATAATTTACTACCCCTTCTCTGCAATACCGGATATAACAGATTAATTCTCATGTCAAAGTGTAACTGAAATCAGTAGCACAGTTTAGTTATTAAGGTTGCCGTATGGCGACTTATGACTGCCTGGGCCCTGAGAGAAAGTAAAAGTTTAACAGGCAGAAAAAATAAATAAATAGAGAGCCTACTGCTTTTAAAAGCCAAGTGTGAAAAAGCTGCATTCATCAGGCTTTCTACATCTAAGAAAGTGTAATGTTGCCATGGCAACCTCACCGTCTATGTAGTGCTTTGGAAATGAAATACGGATCAGTCACAGACCATTTTTAAATGCTTCTCATACAGAGTAGCTGTTACAGGCGATTTATTTTTATGTGTTCTCTCCACCCCCCTTCCTATTTTGTTCTAGGAAAAAAAATGCAATCCCCAATGCAGTCAGTGAGAGAGTATGGAAAAAAAAATCATTCAAAATGATGTGCCATGTTATTTGTCTCATTTTGTGGGTGTAAGTGGATTCCATTTATTCTTACACACGCTAAATTTGTCACTTTGCAGAAACCAAACCACACAACCAGGATTATCACTGGAAAATGATAAAATACACAATTACTATTAAAAACAAACAAACAAAAAAAACATTCAAAAGGAGATTAAACAAAACAACTGAACAGCACAACGCCGGATTGAAATTTGTAATTTACAAGTCTAAAAACTCAGACACACATTTTGTACAGTATTGGTACTCACATTGACCAAACATCCACCTTAGGGCCATATTTCTTTCTTGCAAGAAGTTCTGGAGCAGCATAGGCTGGACTTCCACACTGAGTGCTGAAAGGATCTGTGTAACCCAATATACCAGCACAATTGCTCAATCCGAAATCTGAAAAACAGACACACTGCATTCAGAGTTTGAAGTAAAGGATATGCACAGACGAACAGTAAATGGATAACCTACATTACTGTGATCTATCCAGAAAACAAAGGGTTAGTCACTTAAAGGGACACTCCAGACCCCTAAAACATTTTTGCTTGCTGAAAAGCTTTGTGTGTGAAAAGTGTGCAGTCTTATTTAACATTTTACAAATGTTCAGATTTCAATAAAAATGTTAACTTTTAAAAATGTAGCTGGTTACCCTCCCCTGGCTATAACCAGGAAGATTTATAAAAATGTAAGTCAGACAACAGGTTGTTTAGCTCAGTGGAGTTAAACTCAAGAGCACCTGCCTTGCCAATGCACTGCACTGGAATGTCTGATTCTGCAGACAAGAGAACTGCAGGTTTTGCAAGCTGGTTTTAGATCTATCCCCCAATGAAAATATACATAATTAATGCATGCAAGTTATTTGGGGTAAATCTACTAAATGGAGATTATATTTTGTATTTTGGCAGTGGAGTGTCCATTGGGGTGAGGATTGATAGGAATTCAAAGTGAATGGTACAAAAAAGGAGGAAACTTCAAATGTAACCCACAGGCCTGAACCCACTATAGGCGTGTATACAACCTGGACGAGTATATGGACAACTTTTTATATTCCTGGCATGGAGGAGACGGGAAACCAAGGCTCATTATTTAGAAGAATTGAGGTTTTATTGAATGTGAATTTATTTCCCCATTGTGAGATTCTAATCGAACATAACTGGGAGATCGCACTGAGCCAGTTCCCCAATATATAGGTCTATCTTGGGGTATAATGTTCTCAATCTCTCCTTTTCCGTTTAATGTGATTTTGAGGAAAAATTTAATAAATCAATCAAATAAAACAACCTGGCTTTTTGTTAAAATGGGGGGCGGGGGGAATCATAAAAACGAGTGGCCCTTGATCTGGCAAATCTATTACTACAATAACTTAGCTGGAAACGTTGGAAAAACATGTCTAATCTGGTTGTAAATTTACATTCAATAAACTCCGGGGCAGGGGACTCCTTCTGCAAACAAAGACTTGCACAGTCAGCAGCAACATTTGGTAATGGGAAATCCAAAAGGAAGACCAAAAACAAAAGAGGAAGGACACAGGGTCTTTTGAGGCCGCTGCGGACTCCAGCATGTAATCTCTGTTTAGACAGGCCCATAGGGAGCAGAAGGCACAATGCTAATGGGAGAACCAATTAAATCATCAACATACCAATGAGTTTGATGTTGTTGTTTTCGTCCAGCAACAGATTCTCGATCTTCAAATCCCTGTAGGAAAGAAAACAATTAACAATTGTGCAGGAACATGGGAAACGTAGAATCTGCCATCATTAGCGTAGGGTTAAATGTCAGCTTATTAATGAAGCAGTACTTCAGTGACTTCAGCCACATTAACTCCCAGGCGGCTGGAGGGCAGTGCAACAAAATACATAGAATGTTATACTCTTAAAGGACCACTCTAGGCACCCAGACCACTTCAGCTTAATGAAGTGGTCTGGGTGCCAGGTCCCTCTAGGATTAACCCATTTTTTTAGCCCTCAAATCCTCTAGTGGCTGTCTCATTGACAGCTGTTAGAGGCGCTTGTGTGATTCTCACTGTGAAAATCACAGTGAGAACACGCAAGCGTCTATAGGAAAGCATTGTAAATGCTTTCCTATGAGACCGGCTGAATGCACGTGCAGCTCTTGCCGTGCGTGCGCATTCAACCGAAAGAGAGGAAAGGAGGAGGATCGGAGGAGGAGAGCTCCCTGCCCGGCGCTGGAGAAATGTAAGTTTTAACCCCTTTCCTCTCCCCAGAGCCCGGCGGGAGGGGGGACTAGTATGTTTTCCTGGCACTATAGTGGTCCTTTAAAGGTAACACTGCTGCCTTATCAGGTTTACTGTGAAATAGATCTGACATAATAGCTGCAAAACAAGCTTTCAAACAATATCAAATGTCAGTGTGCATGAAAGTGACACATTGAATAGGGGGGGGGTAGATTTATGTTATCGCCCCATATAAAACAGCAATCTTGATCAAAACAGTAGTGTACCTTTAAAAGCACACCATTCTCTTTTGTATATTTCGTCTGGGATTCGCATCATAACCCAAAATGTTAAAGGGCTACTAAAGACACCAAGAGCAAATTAGCTCAATAAAGTGGTCGGGGTGCAGTGGACCTGTAATCTTAACCCTGTAACTGTACTCAATAAAATGCTCCTCACAGAGAATACATGCATTCCGAACGCTATAGTGTTCCTATAAATTTACATCACGGTTATAAAGATAATATCTTTTGACAGTTGTTACATTCCAGGATATTATTATCTGTTGACAAGTGTAAGGTTCTAGGCTGCAGACGTTGCAAAGAATGAGAGACTTTATAAAAAAAAAAACAAGATTGTTTTTTAGGGTTTTGCATGGTTTGGATACAAGGCAGAGAGAGTTATACCACTTTAAAAAACAACAACAAATAAAAAAAAAACAAACAGTCATTTGACATCTCTAAAGTATTAACCCCTTAAGGACCAAACTTCTGGAATAAAAGGGAATCATGACATGTCACATGTCATGTGTCCTTAAAGACAGTCAACACTATAATGACTGACATTGCCCAGAACACTGCAGAGCCTTCTGATAACAGGAACCACATAAACGTAGCTGCTTATACACTGGTGGGGCACTACGGGAGAACGACCCACAGCAATTAACCTAGGCCAAGTTCCTGTTTTCCAGAGTTTTAGCAGATTTCTTTTTATCGACATCTAGAATACACTTTTTTTTTTTTATGAAAAAACAAACAGACGCATCCATGTTTTAGATTTCTGAAGCACGACTCGGTTCCAGTATAGCCTGACAGTAATTACACTGAAAAGGATGCGTTTGTCAACTCCTATCAAACCGAACATATCCTGTGGGTTGTAGCAGCGCAACCAGCATTGTGTGGGTTTTAAAATTATCATTTTCTTTTTTTCTACTATGCAACAATTCACAAAACAGCAGCTATTGCAGTCAATAAAGTTGCTGGACCGTGAAAATAAATTAGAGATCTTCGTGACAAAAGGAAAAAAGTTAGCAAAATCTTGGATGGTGGGGAATGAGGGGAGGGTGGGGGTAATTTTAAAAACCGTGGCTCCTCTTCTTAAAATTTACTTCTACATAAGAATGCATTCTAACGGACCTAATCATTACCATTATCTAAACATTCACGAAGTGAAGGTCACATGACCATAATTCCCCACAAACAAAATATAGGAGCCTGCTCAGTTACATATCCCCAAACCAAAACACCTGTTGAGCAGAGGCTTAAGGGACAGGTGCAGTGCTTTTATTGAACACAAGAAGAAGACTAAGTCGCTAAATAATTCTCAGCCAATTTCTCATTCCAAGGGAAATTCATCTCTCACTGATTTTTCACAGTGAGAATCACACAAGCGCCTCTAGCGGCTGTCAATGAGACAGCCGCTAGAGGCTTTGGGGGAAGGCTTAACCCATTTATAAACATAGCAGTTTCTCTGAAACTGCTTTGTTTATAAAAAAAAAAATGGGTTAACCCTAGCTGGACGTGGCACCCAGACCACTTCATTATGCTGATGTGGTCTGGGTGCCTAGAGTGGTCCTTTAATAATGATGATGATACAAAGTTATTTATACAGCATCGTGTTAATGTAACTTCTATGACAATACTTTGACATCAACACCCAATTGGGATCTGTGCACGTTCATTCACATAAATAGCACCCAGAGAACTTGCTGTATTGTTGAAAAAAATAAGAAAGCTTTATGTGTTGAGAATATCAATTCACAAAAGCTCCCATCAATGAATCTATTTATAACCGTGAGTCTCGTTAAAAAGGACCCAGGTGAATCCTTCTGCGCGGTGACTTATCTCTCATTCAGTTTCTAGCTACTGACTTTTATTCTGCAGAAATTCATTGTCACAAAAGAAATCTGGGAATAATGAAAGCAAACAGGTTGTGATCTTTCTTCTGACAAAAATGGTATGACTCATCAATTGAAAGTCTTCTACCATGGTTAGAAATAACGGAATAAAGTCGCAACTATACCATAAATAAATAAATTACAGAAAAATCACTCTGCGTCGTAGTAGTTATCAGCTGATGTCTAAAAAGAACACTAATCTGTACTCCTAACCCTACTGTGTCCTTCAGTTACCCCCCCCCCCCCACCTGCCCCCTGGCCATCTCCAAGACACTCGACGTCTACATGCAAAGCGTGAAGACACCCAACGTCGTTTTATGCAGTTAAACTCCGTGAAACTGCAGGAAATGCCTCGAGTGGCCATCTGGTAGACCCTGAAAATATAAACATGGCTCTAAAATTGCAATGTTTTACATTACAGGGTTAAGGGGGCAGGGATACTGCAATCAAATGATGTGGTCTGGGTTACTTGGCCCATTACCTTGTAACAGGTAAATCGACACAACCCCGCCATTTTTTTATTATTTTTTTAAATTTGGGAGGGTTAAAAAGGTGGAAAAATAAAACACATCAGAAAACATCCAACATATGAAAAAAGTCTGAGTATTTTAAAATAAAAAAGAAAGAAAAATTTCAATCACCTATGAACAACTCCTGCCCTGTGCAGGTGTTCCACGGCCAGAATCAGCTGCCTGATGTATTGGCGAGCCTCGTTCTCCTCCAATCTCTTCTTCTCGTAGATCTTGTGCATAAGGTTCCCACCACAACATAGCTCCATCACCAGGTAATAGCTGTTTTCAGTCTCTAGAATGTCGAGAAGCTGGGTGATGTGTGGGTGCCTAATCATTTGCTGGATTTGGCCTTCCCTGCGTAGGTTCTTGGTCACATACGTGTCCTTTTTGGCTTTCTTCTTATCTATAACTTTAACAGCCACCTGTGAAGAAAAGATACATTTTGTAAGAATTCCATACATGTTCAGGTGAAGCAACATTTTCACAAGTACATGCTTTGCATTCGTTACATTATTAGAAGTAAGAAGATTGTGAGTGATAATGTAATTCATATAGACAGGGATACGGACTTATTTAAGCCTTGGGTGATGTTCAGACAAAACTGTATAGAGAACAATTCTGTCAACCTCACAAGTTCTGTGTCTGTTAAATAAGAAACAATAATTTTCTGGAAAATACATTAATACCTTGATTTTTTTTGATTACATGTGATGCTTGATAAATTGACATCTGAACCTAGCTTAGTCCAGGCACAGACAGTTTCTTTCCACCACCTGTCTGTGCAAAGGGCAGAGCTTACAACAATAAGTAATAGGACGCCAAGATGGAGGGGCTCCGTTCCAACACAGAGGTCCTGCGCCCTGTTGTGGTTATGGTGCTTGGAGTGTTCTTTTAAGAGCTGGAAACCGCTATTGAGCCTAACCATGCAATTAATTTCCAGCCGCAATACGTTTCCCTGTATAATGCCAGTACATTTTATTAGTTTTATTTTATTATTTGGAAAACATTATCAAATGGTTTTTCTTTTCATTGGTATCACTTGTGTGCACTTAAAAAGCAAAGTATGGAAGAGGAATAAAAACAAGAGCCTGCCTGTGAAAAATAACTTCTAAAAGCTGGACTCTTGTATTCCTCGAGCAAAAATTGTGTGTGTGTGTGTGTGTGTGTGTGTGTGTGTGTGTGTGTGTGTGGGGAGATTCAAAAGGCATGATAACAGAGAAAAAGACATCTCAGCTATTTACAGGCCTTCTCTCGGATATCTCCCAGAGGCCATAAATGGACCTAAATAGCAAGTCAAGGCGAATGTGGAGGAAAATGGTAATTAAATAAGATACAAAAGGAACTGGTTACCAAGCCTCAAGCATTCTTTTTGAGCATTACAGAGAAGGCAATTTACTAGTCACGGAAGAGGCCACGGCTTGGATGAACCCTTGCTCTCTTATCCCTCTTAACTAACAAAAATTGTTGCCTGAAGCCCAAGTAATCCTTAAAAACCATTTGTCTTTTCTGTGCTTTAAGGGTTAACAGTGTGCAGTATTAAAGCGTGGCCGAAATTTAATCTATGTTAGGGTCTCTTGACCGCTTACATTGTCACGGTTATAATAGGATATCAAGTCACACAGCACCAATCACCTGCAGGCAATCCCAACTAAAATTGTTTAGCAAGACTTTACTTCTGCATAAAATGATTAAATAACTTTCATATCTTCACTAGACGTGTGTGTGTTCTTGTTAATAATTTAGTAGAGGAGTTAAATAAACCAGTGGTTCAAAGATAGAAATACACAAGACAATATTACTCAAAACACAGTTTGAATAATTTAACAGGATCTGCTTTTAACCTCCTGATAACCCCTTTTGCAAGGAATCTATCATTGAGTCATTAAAGGAACACTATAGGCATTATAACCATTTCATTAAATTGGTAATATTGGCTAGAGCCTTCTGGAACTGTCCAAGTCAATTTTCAGGCGGTTTATTAATAAAATAGGCAACCTTTGGCACTACAGATGTTTTGGACTACACCTCCCGTGAAGCTTTGCCAGCATTTTAGGTATCCCAGCATTATGGGGGTTGTAGTCCACAACATCTGGAGTGCTGAAGGTTGCCTACCACTGGAATAGGGTCTCTGGCCACCCACAGCCCTTCTAGCCTTACCAATTCAAACAAACAATGGGAGCGGTTACAGGCTGAAAGCTATCAGCTGATCTCTCATCCAATCAGTATTTCCTCATTAGCCTGATCACCACATTTAATAAGATGAACAATCTTCAGCGAGATGAAGCAGAGTGCTTACATCATGGTCCTTTAAACAAAATAAATAAATTTAAAAAAAAAAAAAAAATTGCTGAGAACTGCTATCACCTAGACCGCAAATACTATACCATTACAATGATGCACAATTCCGTAATTATACATACTTTAGATAAGATGGCCCTTTGAGAATTTTACATTACACACACACGGGTGGTTTGATAAGAATAGTGTTATATAAGAGAAGAAAAAAAAAAAAAAACCTAGACAACAGAGGATTCTGCAATAGTGTCCCATGAGACAACCAGCCTACCATACCACCCAACTGTCCTTATTTAAGAGGGACAGTCCTGATTTTGGGTCCAAATCCCCTTGTCCCTCTTTTTTATCCTGTTCTATTTTTCCTGTGTATGTGTCTTTAAACTATGATGAATGTGTTTAGAAATCAGTCTACATAAACAACATACATTGTTCTTGTTCTAAATTACATTTTAGTTGCATACAGTTATTAGCAAGTCACTCAAAACACTCCCCGCATTGTCCAGATTTTGAAATGTTGGGAGGTGTAGTATCGAGGTTGGGAGATGTAGGTCGCAGACATTTGATGTACGCACCCAGGTTAGCCATCACTCCCTAAAAGACACTCAAGTATAGTATATTCCAGTTTTGTGATGAAGTACGTTTTAATACATAGGACCTTCCATCCCTACCTGATGTTTCATCAGGAGATTTAAAATAAATTTATTTTTTTTTAAAAGCCAACAATTTAGTGAAATTTTAGTTAGAGTTACTATGAGATTGGAAAACAACAAAAATTTTAAAACAAGAGATTTTGCTCATCCTTAATTATGGAGTTATTGTAACAATCAATGCTGTAAAACAGGTTCCTGAATCTTTTGTAGATGTCAAGTTTGACAAAGACCAAATGTATTCAGTTCAAGCTCAGGTTGAGAGAAGAATAATGGACGTGGATTGTGCTCAAGGTTAAACAGAAATGCTTTGATTGTAAAACAAAAAAAAAAAAAAACACAAATAAACAAAGAACCAATTATGACAGTGATTTAAAAATAAATCAATAATAAATTAAACAAATAAGATTCAATCAGAAGTAGAAACCACAGAAAAACAAACAAAAAAACAAACAAACAGAAATTCAAACAAATTGTACTGCATTTGTTGCATTCTACAGAGCAGTGATGGTTCAGCTTGGTACTCCAAATAATTTATAATAAATATATGTTAATCTATTTGTCTCTGACGGTGAAACATACAGGCAGTGCACAGCACCAGTCCATACGCCTTTCCAGCCTGTTAGAGCCAGTCAGATTTGATCACCAGGTGAGATGTGACAAGTAGGTTAGCTGTCTCAAACCATTATTTGTTTGGACGACTGCTGCCGCTGTAAAGTTCACAAAATATATCGAACCAAGTCATGAATAGAAGCGGCCACTGAGTGATTTGCCCTTGGCTTTGAGAAAAAAAAACTAAATAAAAACTAGCTTAGAATTAACCTTCTACAATATAGGTTTGTTGAGGGGCATTTGGCTTTTGTGCATTAAATGGGCATCAGAATGGAATCTACAGCTTTTTGAAACCATTGAAAAAAGTAGGTGGCGAAAATAAATAAATAAAATGTGTGCTCACTGCCTTGTGCTTTAAACCATGCTGAGCATTACAGCATTGGGATTTTATAATTAACTAGGGTAACAAGCTTTCATTGTTTTCTGTGCACAAAAGAAAATCTTGATTATATAAAGCGGCAGAGTAACTCAATCCAGTAGGAATCTACCAGCTGCTTTTCCGCTACAGAGTACATTTTTTAAGGGAAAATTATGAAAGAAAATATTTGACTTGGTGTTTTAGCTTTAAATGGATAGGACAGGGCTGGACTCTTTCAATCTCAGGATAACATGAAATACGCTACACATGGCTATTTCGGATTTTATAAAAAAAAAAAATGGTCTCCGATTAATCACTGTATAATAAAGAGGCACAGGGGCAACTCTGGACGGACATACTAGGACAAGGAACTAAAAACGACACTTATTGATAGGGAGAGGAAAAAAAAAAAAATCACTAAAGTGAAACCTTTGGACATAAGATCTGATTGTTGGAGAACATTTCTTTTTTAATATTTTTTTAATAAGTGCAGAGAGGCAGGGGCAGCTCTGACACACCTATATCTACACATATTGTATTATGAAAAATGATCAAAATATGCCACATCGCTTCCCTTCACTGCGGCCCCCCCCCAAAACCAAAATAAAAAACACACCCAACAAAAACAAACTGCCTAACTCAGAGAAAGCCACTAATATTAACAATACATACATTTTGTGATGTACAAAAGGATATCTGTTGTTGCATTCTCCTAAACAGTAAGATCAGATCATAGACGAGGACTTCCATGTGCGCAATGACATGACAGAGCACGTAACGCTTGGGACATACTTGAAAACGAGAGACATCTCAATGTATCTTTCCTGGTAAAATATTTTATAAATAAAGCACACAATAATGATTATTTTCTCAGAAACACAACAGGGGAGTAGCCATAGTCATGAGTACACCCAGTAAACAAACAACTGCCTAGAATAGGCCTCTGTTTTCTTCATACACAACACAAAATTATTGCACCAATGTATCAACTATAAAAGAATATGGAATCTCAAAACAATTAGGACAATCATTCCATCATTCGCTCAGTTCTTCCTGGACTACAGCTATGGGTGAGAACATGTGATGGAACTTCTGGTCTACGTGGTTGGCAGGAAATCAAGAGAGAAAGTCAATACAATGGGATGTACTTTCGGGGCTGGGTAGAATTTATTCTGGTCTTCACTGGGCATAATAAAAACCAACAATTGCTAAGCCTGCTTTCAATGTGTTCTACAACTACCCAGAATTACAAGGTGCCAGGAATAAAATCCTGCATTAGTTCTGCAAAGTAATGCATGCAGTGCTATTACACATTTTGTACAGACTGGAAAACGGTCAGAAAAGCTCAAAGCAGATTACGTTCAAGAGGATAAGGAACTGTCAGCTTCCCATATGCAGATATTCAGGGGCTGACCGGCCTGAGTGCACAAAAGTCATGTCAGGAGATGCCAGCCGTGTGTGATATCTGCATGAGATTTACATGGCGTGGTCACATAGAAACATAGAATGTGACGGCAGATAAGAACCATTCGGCCCATCTAGTCTGCCCAATTTTCTAAATACTTTCATTAGTCCCTAGTCTTATCTTATAGTTAGGATAGCCTTATGCCTATCCCACGCATGCTTAAAACTGTGTTAACCTCTACCACTTCAGCTGGAAGGCTATTCCATGCATCCACTACCCTCTCAGTAAAGTAATACTTCCTGATATTTTTAAACCTTTGTCCCTCTAATTTAAGACTTTAAATTAGTCACCTTAACTACGGCCTGTGATTATTATTATTTATATAGCACCATCAGATTCCGTAGCGCTGTACAATGGGTGGACTAACAGACATGTAATTGTAACCTGACAACTGGACGTACAGGAACAGAGAGGTGGAGGGCCCTGAACAATGAGCTTACGTGAAAAAAAAAAAATAAAAAATCAAAACTAAACTCACTATAGGTGCACCACGACATTCTTCACCAACAAATAAATGGGTAATTCAAGCCACAATAAAATAAATAAAACCAGTTATATCATATATCTCTACTATAAAGTTTCCCTGTTTTGTAGTTTTCCCAGCATTCCCCTACAGTAAAGCAGAGAGTACTACAGTTCTAAGGTTTCCTGAAAATCTCTCCTTTGTACGAGAAGGAAAATGGGAACCTGATAGCACCTAATAATGAGAGGGTTTTCTGCTCCAGGAGAAACCGAATCCTGAAGAAAAACAAACCACCGTGTGTCTACAGAGCTATTTCCTTCTGCAAGCAATTTGGAGAAGGCTCCTTTCCTCACACATTGAAATGGATTTTTCAGATTAAAATAGCAAAGAAGGTTTGTAATGGAGAAAAAAGATGTAAATCTGCATTAAAAGGATGTCGTTTTTCCCATTGTGTTTAATTTAAAAATATATAAACAAACCTGCTGGCATTTCTGCTGTGGGGACTACAAACCACATCATGCTGAGCCAGCCCGATTTCAGAGAATATATGAATTTTTTTTAAAAGCAAAACCATTGGGTTCCATTAGCATCTCACTGTATCATGCTGCATTTTAAAGGATAAAAGGATATAAATCCTGCTATGAGCCTTTATAAGTTGATGCACACTTTCCACGTGTAAAAATAAGTTAAAATGTCTGAGATTTCGCTCATCTCTGGCCACATCATGCAATTACTTTTCTCAACCAAAAAAGTAAATAAAAGAGTTTATGTATAAAAGAAATTTATAAAAATATGTTACCAGGAAGAATATAGTGAGATTTCTCTTGTCCTGGGCTCACGAACACTGAAACATTACAATTGGATACAATATAATATTAAAAAAAAAAAAAAATAAATGTGTATATAGATATATACTATATACGCACACACACTTAAAGAACAGGTAAGAAATAGTCAGCCATGATTACAGGTGCAGCCAATTTGATGTTTATCTTTCAATATAATCAATATTTACTAGCGAGAAAGTCAGAAAGACTATACACTTTATGGGCTTGCAATAAGTAGCTTAATCCATGTAAAGCAATGTTTCTCTATCACTGACAAACCGTTATATGTAATGGAACAGAATATATAACTGCATTTCTACCACAATCTGAAGTTGTCATATGCTCTCCTACTGTTCCCCCTTCCTTCTTCAAGACGGGCACCACTCTTGGCAGTAAACCTGTAGCTCAGGTCTGCACCAGAAATTGATTAAAAGGCATTTTTTAATTCTACCCAGTCTCAAAAGTTTGGTTCTGCCTCTATCAACATGGTGGTCACTGTAGAAACAAGCATCGACCAACCACAACCTACCCAACTTATGGACTTCCATCATTTTTAACATTCAGCAAAAAGCTGAACTTTGGGGGGGAGGTCAAAAGACAAGGGCGCTTCTGTTTCAACCGTCATATTTTTTCCCTTTTTATCAAGAGTTTGGTGGTAATAGGTATAAATTTTTTTTTGAAAATTAGATTAATAACCAATAACTAGCAAAGATCTTGATTTCTGGGAATCACAGACTAGTGAGCTACGGAGACGGTATTTGACCTATTAGTTAAGACTTCTAATAGTCTGTCCCCTGTCCTTAGCGTTACCTGCATTGCCCTGGGATTTTGACACTTTCTTCAGCCTTTATAAAATCTTGTGTGTGTCTGGAACGGAGATCTGAGAGGCTATTACTGGCACTGCTAAAAATGGTAGCAATCATCTCCCTTCTAATTAGACACATGTCTCGAAAAAAAACATTGTATTCATGGGTTGTTTTTCCCCCACATATTTCATGATTCTAATCGAGTAAATAGTTGTCAGGCTTTTTAAATGCAGCCTAGAAAAAAATAAAAAATAAATATTAAAAATATATCTATCCTTAGACATTCTGTTTAAATTACTCCAGCTGATATTACATTATTAGCCATTGCGTTAATCTTCAATAGATTTGAGTTTATTTTTAGAAGCCATTGTAAAGATGTAAATGAGAACCATTTAAAATTTCTAAACAGCTATTGAGCAGAAGGGCACATAGTGCAAACTGAGTGAGTGGTTTTCCTTTGTAGCATTTCAAAACAAAACCAATAATGGGAGCCATTAAAATGTTGCAGATAAATATAACTCATTTCATATGCGAAAAACATGCCTGCTTATCGACTGGCTTCACTTTTTCCATCAGTAAAAGTTTGGAATTTAATAATAAAAAAAAAAAATTAGATTTTAATAAAATGTTGCGTACTATAAATTTTAAAATAGATTTCATTTAACAATTTTAAAAAATTATATATACCCCAGCATAAATGAGGCTAAAATCATGAGAATATTCTGTATGTAGCCAGGTTCACAAAACTGAGAAATGAGAATGAGATTATAATGATAGCAGCGGAGTAATGACTATGATCAGTTCATATATTAGAATATATCTAGCATGTAAGCTCATTGAGCAGGGCCTTCCACCTCTCTGTTCATGTACGACCAGTTGTCTGGTTGCAATTACACGTCTGTTAGCCCACCCATTGTACAGCGCTACGTAATGTGATGGCGCTATATAAATAATAATAATATAGTATCATTCTCCATTCATTCTAAGCAACGAGTGAAACTGTTAGGTAGTTGATATGGTACATATCTACGTATGTACATTAGCACAGGTTCTGTATTTTTTTTGCCAAGTGTAGTGTTCCGATATATACCTGGCACAGTTATACTGCACTGCAAGATATAAGATCGGGAAGTCCTAAAATGGGATCATGACATTAAAACAAAGGGGGCAAAGGGATTTATGATTCTTGAAAACCGGGAGCACTGTCTTGGTCACATATTAAACTAAAAGGAGGTTTGACTTGAATTCACAACTATTCTTATGCTTGAGTAATTAATGTTATATATCAACACTTGTGATTGCTTGGAAATCTTCACAGCTAAAAACGATTTTTAAAATATATACATATATTTAGAAAACAAAAAGACAAACACTTCAGAAAGCATAGGTATCTTGAAAGTCAGTGATCAGTCTTTCATATTACAAAACACATGAATAGTATCAGATGCTGAGGATCAGCCAGGGTTACAAGCCAGGGTAGGACACAAAACTGTCTAAATATACATAGGGATTAAGGAGAGAGCGCAGGTAACTTTCTTTTCTTTGTTTTTTACTATATATTGGGGCTGATGTGTACTGTAGTCATTGCTGCCGGCCCAGTAGTGATGGAAGTGAGCGCAGGACTTCTCTTTTTGTATTTGTAGAAAAATTAAAGAGAGAGTCACCTAGTTGCACCTAGTCGTAGATATACACATACATCGTAGATTAGTTCAATTAAGTGGCAGACTAAATGTTTTCTAGTTATCGAGAGGATGATGGGATTAAATAATGACCAACAGGATGAGGAAGACATTAATCAAGCGGTTTATGTATAAATCTGATCATGAATACGTACGCATCTAGTATTACATAATAGGATTGCACTGCTTAGAATGCCAGGTGTATGATGTGTCAGCTAAGGAGTTGTACGGTTATGGAATTCAGAATGTTGTTGTTGTAATGTACCGATATTGCCAAAGGCAGAATCACAGTGAAGTAATGAAACCATCATCACCGAAAGGCCAGCAATGGGGCAAATTTAAAATTACAAGGCAATTAGAACAATTCTTGAAGAGGTGAACAACCATTAACTACAAGGAAAGGCTGCATCTACCATGTGATATAAATGCATTTACAGGAAGGATATATTGAGATTTCTCTCGTTTTCAAGTACGTCTTGTATAGCCAGAGTCTGATTTACATTGGTTCCCACCATACAAGAAACAGGGAATGGTTGTTTGAACTTTATGTTGACACTGTGTCCAATGTTTAATTAAAAGCTTTTATTTGATATTTATAATAATAAAAAAATTTTAAAAAAAACAAATGGCTGGAAAAAATTACAATAAATAAATGTATGGTGTATAGTTTACTTCCGGTGAAAGAACTACTTTAATAGAATAATGGCTCTGTGAATGTAACAGCAAGAGGAGGCATCCACACATATGCAAAATGCTCTCAAAGGGAAACGGTCACTTCTCTAGACTTTAAACATAATTAAATAAACAAAGAAAATCACCTATACCTGGGGTGGCCCACCATCTCTGCCCCTCCCCTTTTATTTTGTAATGAAATGCTCCATTATTTATTTTTTGAATATTAAAGATTAGCAAATTAGATCATAACCTGGGTCAGACAAAGCAAAGCCTGTGCAAACGAGAAGAAATAGAAGCATTGTTCCATTTCTGCCCTTCTTTATATGGTTTCTCTATGCTTACAGCCTGGAAGAAAGGACAGAGCTTATTACAATGATTGACAGACATCCAAGATGGAGGCACACTAGTGCAGATTTTTGCACTAAACCGTTTTTCACACCTCACAAACATATACTTGTTAAATATAGGGTAGCTTAAAGGGACATTATAGTCACCAAAACAGCTTTAGCTTAATGAAGCAGTTTTGGTGTATAGATCATGACCCTGCAGCCTCACTGCTCAATTATCTGCCATTAAGGAGTTAAATCACTTTGTTTATGAACCCTAGTCACACCTCCCTGCATGTGACTTGCACAGCCTCCCTTAACACTTCCTGTAAAGAGTCATCTACAATCTATCCTTCCTTTATTGCAAGTTTTGTTTAATTTAGATTTTCTTATATCCTGCGATGTTAAAAGCCTCCTGTATGTGAGTAAAGTTCAATTTACAGAGAAAGGAGATAAACAATTGTTTAAGGTAAATCACATCTGATTAAAAGTGAAACCAGTTTTATTCATGCAGGCTGTGTCAATCATAGCCAGGAGAGGTGTGACAAGGGCTGCATAAAAATAAAGTGATTTAACTCCTAAATGGCAGTGAATTGAGCCATGGAACCTGAGAGACATGATCTATATACTAAAACTGCTTCATTAAGCTAAAAGTTGTTTAGGTGACTATAGTGTTCCTTTAGACATAATATTAAAGGGGCACTATAGTCACCTGAACAACTACAGCTTAATGTAGTTGTTGAGGTGAGATCTATAGCTCCCTGCAGGCAATCTAATGTAAACACTGTATTTTCAGAGACGGCCACCAGAGGGACTTCCTATCAGGTATGGCCCTAAAAGGCCATGTACACGTCAGACGTATTAAAAAACGTCTGACTTGTGCAGGAGAGAGCGGCTGTGCACACCGCGTGCATGCGCGGTAGTGCGCTCAGGACTTCAGAGGGCGGCATGAAGTAGGGCGAAGCCGCGCATGCGCACAAGGGAGCAATGACGCTTCCAAATGGAAGCGTCTGATTGCTCCCTGCTCGCGCCCGCCTATTTCATCAGTTTGACTAAATAGAGGGCGTGGCTTCACGAGGCTCTTGGCGCTGGAACCAGGGGAGTAAAAAGGGCTGCCTGGAGAGTCCCTTTAAAAAAAATACACAGAAGTGACAGTGTCCCTTTAACATTAAGAGGGGGGACACAATATATAATTTAAAAAAAAATAAAGCAAACAAATAGAAAAGACAGTGTGCATCAAAGCCAGGCTTTGTATTATTTTAGATCGTTTTTCCCATGAATAATATTTAAGAGTCCCACTTAGATACAGTTCCCATTTGATAACTCAGATACAACCAAGTTACGTATCTGAAGTCATATACTGCACCTGCGTCAGTAAATTGTCAATGTACGTTCACCCATATAAAAAGCAGAAAAAAAAAAAAAATTGTATATTTAGATTCAATACATAAGGACATTTTTCTTTCTGCAATATCTGCACTGAAGATGCAGCCCGCTTATGTTCTGCGAATCCTATTGAAAAGAACAGTCAGTGTTTATTTAGAATTGCTCTTCATCCGTGACACAATAAGAAAGGCCTTCTGCTTTTGTGTGGATCTGTACAGCCATCACAAACTGTTAATCTAATCTGTGCGTCTAAAAAAGAATGTTCTGTACACCAATCTTGTCACAAGGCTGAGTCTATTTTTAAGCATTTATTAAAATCAAGTATCAGAGAAGTATTCTTAGAATCCATTTAAAAAAGATGCTCCACGGGGTTACAAAGTAAATAGGATTTTGTTACCTGGCGGAGGTGGGAGAAAAAATAAATAAATGAATATATGCCATATATTAAACAGGGACAAAGTTCAATAAAATTTCAAATTAAAAAGGGGAATGGCCACTTCTCTGTATTACAACTTTTGAATGAAAAATACGTACTAAATATTTAGTAAACTACATCACAATCTCAGTCCTGTCCAAGCACAGTCAAGGTGCACAATTTAAATGAGGTTGCAAAATATAAGCACTGGAGGGTTAGATAAAAAGTGTCAGCTCTGAAGAATAGTGCAAACATGGGAAAAGGGAGGATTCACCAATGCAATGTGCCTGCCCTGCTTTTAGTATTTGAGACCACAACACTTTTTACACATAACCCCCATTGATTCAATTCTCCTCTTCCCTGTATGCTTTTGGTTTTTTAAAGCCGACTTCCAGTTTAAAAAGGACAGAGCTTTTAATAATAATTAACAGGAAGCCAAGATGGAGTCACCCTGTTGAAGGATAAAAATACATGTAAATCTCTATATTTAAATTACATTTTTTCACACCTAACAAATATATATTGGTTAAATATATAGGGGGATGCATTAGGGAACTTCATACTTCCTTACTAATTTAGTTTACTTTTCTATTTTAAGTGCTTTTATTTCTGATTTGTTAAGCAATACCATGTGACTATATACCGTAAGCTACATATTTTACCATGTTTACTGCTATAATTGCATCATAAAAAGGCAATACATTTATGTGTTAATGATTTGCATTGTACATTTTCATAAAAAAAAAAATTATATATTATAAATAATAAATGGCTTGCACTCACGGTTTCTTTGAAGAAATATATATATATATATATATATATATATATATATATATATATATATATATATATATACATATATATATATATATATACACATACATATATATATATATACATATATATATATATATATATATATATACATACATACATACACATATACATATATACATACATACACATATACATACACATATACATATATACACACACACACACACACACACACACCTTTCCTTTTTGACGTTTCAGCCCCTGTCTGTGGCTTTCCTCAGGATGTATGATCCTGAGGAAAGCCACAGATGGGGGCTGAAATGTTGATCAGTGTCTTACGAATGTACAATAAAGGAATTTTTTTTTTTTTACTTCAAAAGAAACCGTGAGTGCAAGCCATTTATTATTTATTTTATATGTTTTGGCACTTGGCTTCAAGTATGCACCCGGTGACACTAATATTAGAGTGAGTGTGCAAGGACCAGTATATATATTTTACACACACATGCACAACAACCAAGGATGGCTAGGGCTATATATATATATATGTGCTGCATATTTATATACATATAAACACACAATCCAGCGCATTAGCTGATTCACTAAACAGCGATATCAAGCCTCACAGATTGTAAGAGTTTTATTTCTATATATTTATTAAGTAAACAATATTACAAATCTGAAAAGTGACATCCCATGCAGTTTAACAATGTAGGGTTGTCTGAAAATACCATTAATTTATTTTAGCCCTACAGTGTTAAGAAAATAAATAAATAAAACACTATAAAAAAGTCGCCAGGGTACAGAAAATAAAGTCAACATCTGTCAATTGCAAAGTGGATTTTACTCATGGTTTGAGGGAAACATTAATACACGTGTTATTTTATTTATAATTAGTTGGGTTTTATTTTATACCTCTACATACATCGACCATTTAACAAAAATTCATTCCAGATGCAGAGCGCAGGATATAGAATTATACACATGAGGATACAGTTATGGCTTATGTTATTGCCTAAAAGAAATACTCAAGTAGAAATTTTTTTATTTTATTTTTTTAAATCTATATTATAGCTTCAGATTACCCTTTCTGTTTAGATCTGAGCTTTCCTACAAAATGCCTTAAATCAGTGAATTTTTAGTCTTTTCAATAGTGAGAATTATGGGGAGAATTAAGGAATTGCAAATTTTAGAATTTCTCCAAATGCTCCTTTGCTAGATCAGCTATTTTGTCTTAACGATTCCCCTGTCAATTCCCTACAATTCCAATAATAGTTGGTAATAGTCCTCAGTGTATAACTCACAGCATGATAATAAGATTATAATTCATAGAACAAGTTCGACATTAAGCACATGGGAAGCAACGGCAATTCTTTACATCTCTACAAACAGGAAACAAGATTCATAATAAAATCACTTGTTCCAATAAGCGAGCTATCACTTGATTGATAATCAGAAAACACATAGAAAGTCATTTTGACAGATCTTTTGCAATAGGAATGTCTGTATCCGTGGCATGAACAATTATTGCATGTTATCAAAGGGGATAAACTGGTGTATTAAGAAATGATTTTATAATAAGTCTGTTCATAAAGATCAAATAAGATTTATTTTGGGCTATTACACAAATCATGGCCTTTTAACACAGATAGGGGCTCCTGCAACCCTTGAACAAGAAGCAGCAAAAGAGCAATTCTAGGGCAACAGAATTAAAGGTCAATCAGAGAGAAGTATCAAGCCATGGTGATTGCTCCACATATAGCTCCAGAAAGGCTGCTTAAAGGAACACTATAGGGTCAGGAACACAACCATGTATTCCTGACCCTATAGTGTTAGAAATACTATTTAGCCCCCCCGCCGGCCTTAAATATAATATAAACTCACCTTATTCCCAGCGAAGCGCAGGTCTGCTGCCCTGGCAACACCCCCAATCAGCCTCCTTGGCTGACATCATCAGAAATGATGACCTCAGCCAAAAAGTTGGGTCGGGGGCGGGGCCAAACTCCACCCTGTCCAATCAGCATCTCTACATATAAATGCTTTTAATTTTATACATTTCTATGGAGAAAGTTAAGCATGTCCCTACATAGCGTTGAGACACTGAACGTCAGTGCTGCACATGGAGCAACATTGACCCAGGAAGTCCCTCTAGTAGCTATCTGAGGAGCCTATTGGAGGTGTCCCTAGGTAGTAATGTAAACACTGCCTTTTCTCTGAATATACTGTTTATACACTAAAAAGCCTGCAGGGGCAGTTTATAGACACAAGAACAACTACATTAAGCTTTAGTTGTTCTGGTGACTATAGTGTCACTTTAAACTTCAATCCCATTGTGAGGGATACAAAAAGAGAAAAAAAATGTAAATTATATCCATAAATAAATATGCACAATGCCATTTGTATTTATTAGTAAATTGTATAATATATAATATATTTCACAGTCACGTTAAGGTTTATTGGTTCCAAGTTCGTTTTTAATTGCAAGTACACTACATCCTCAGCTATCCGTGAGAGGAGGGTGACAAGGCTCCAGTACTGTAAATCATTAAGTACCGCCCCCCCCCAGGCTGTCATGAACTTATGGCTCTTATTAAAGTATTAGTCTTAGGTTTAGATTACGCAGTAAAGTATAGCTCAATGCAAGAAACATCACTAAGTCCTCCCAGGTGCTGGATTACTACTGAGGTGTTCAGAACAGTTCAGAAAAATCTGCAAAACGTTAACAAATAAGCAGGGCTGGAGGCATGAAAAAACTTCTACTGTGAGTTCCAGCAGACCCCCGACTATTGGATTCACACCAGATTTAACGTCATAAAATGATTCCTTGTATATTTCATTCAACACGCTATACCTCAATAAGATGTAGTCACACCTGACGGACACTGAAAAATAAAAGGTCTATCATGCTAGGAGTCACCTGTCCTGCTTCTTTTGTTTAATATCAGTTAGAATTTGCTTTTAGATTACCAAAATTGTAAAATCCCACCCTGGTCTGTGGTTAACTGTGAATGTTTCACATTGGTGAAAACAGTTAGTTTTGGACAGTTCCTCTAATTCTAATCCCTTTTAATCCACAACTTATTTTTAAGTGAGCTCCCATAATGCCTTGCCAGATTTACCGCAGGCAAAGCATCATGGCGGCTGTGGTCCTACAACATCTGGTGGGTGTGCCTTCTGTTATTCAGCTGCTGCGAGGCCCATTCTGTATGGTACTCACCAGGAATAAACTTTAATTCATAATCAATTTCTATATCTACTCACCACTTTTTTTATTTTTATTTTTTATTTTTTTTAAATTCACTTTTTGGGGGTCTGGCTGGGCAGCCATGTTGGATCAGACTCTACGATTATCGGACTAACTACTGCTCAGCCTAACTTGCCTGCTGCGGGGGGTTGCTCTGGGTGAATCAGCAGCTGCAAGCAAGTTAGACTGAACAGCAGTGGGTCAGAAAGTAGTAGTCAATATGACTGCTTAGACAGGTGAAACTAAATTTTCAGAAAAAATAAATAAATTATACACACACACACACTAAACAAAAAAGTTTTATGAAATGAGAAATTAATATTTGATAGCAGTTGTCTTTTAAAACAAAGCTGCACTTTAATCCACCTTTCATGGGTGGCACAGACATTTCTTTCCATTGTATGAATTTCCATTTATTACATTTCAAATCAGCAATTTTTAAAGAAATGTAAAAAAAATAATAAAAAAAAATAAGTAAATTCTTGTAAAACATTTGATCTTTTTTATAAAACCTAGTGACTGTCACGCAAAAGAGAAAAAAAAAAGTCACTACGGAGATCATCATAGTTTGTTATTACAGCTCAGGAGTGATTAAAAGGCACCATTTGGCTACCACCACTCTAGCCAAATGTCTAATTAACATTACAATCAAGGAGGTAGCTATTGATTTCCCATGATCTTTTGCTAGAGTTTTAACTGTATGCCTAATTGCGGAGGAAATATGTGAGTTTCGCCACAACAGCCGCAAAAGCGCACATGCTTGGCTACCTCTGATGCAAGTCAATATATTGTGTGCTCACTGTATCTAGGATTCTGTGCCAAAATACAATGGGATGTAAAAACAAAACAAAGAAATGATTATACATTAAAAAAAACAAAACAGACTCTTGCTGCAGTGACAGTCTTGGTCCTCAAGGAATTAGTCGATTGGAGAGCTGTGTGTTTACAATATATTGTTATAATTATATTTTGTTAAGGTTTTTTTCTTTATTTATTTTGTTATTGGGGCGGGGGAGGAATTACACATTGTGCAGCTATTACAATGGGCTAAACTCATTAATGGTGTACACAAAAGGTTGCATTCACTAATCTGCGAGTTAATGGGAGTAGATTATGAAGTTGAAGAATTAAGGACAAAATTGAATATTGGGCGGCAGAGGTGGTGTTTCCAATTCAGATAAAGATTTCTCCAAATCTGGTAAATATATATATATATATATACATATATATATATACACATACATACATATATACACACACATACATACATACATACATACACACACACACATACTTTTTTCTTTATATTTTAGAAGACATCAAAAACTAAGTTGGTTAGAAAGACTATTTTGCGGTCATCGAGGGACATCTGACTGGCCTCCAGATGGTTTTACTGCCCCTTTTTTGGCATCTCGAACAGATTCACAACCCCAAAAAAGTAGGTCTTACCCTGTACATGCACTATATAAATCTTTAAAACAGAGAACTGTAAGAAAAAGTCAAAACACAACAAAGGAATAAAATCATACTTATCACTCCAGCTTCTAAAGCCTACCATTCCCATCAATGTCAGCCACCATTTGACAGGCGTCTTCAACCTAGTGCAATGATGGCTAACAAAGCTAGCAGAATCACCTGGAGTCCAAGAGCTAGCTGTCACCAATTTACTGGTTTTAGGAATGCTATACAACAAAGCTTGCACTCTTCTCAGCCAGCAAAACAACTGCAACCGACTACGCTCCCATAATGCTCTGTCATTACTTCCCATCATACACAGCCAACCAAAGCCAAAAGATTTGAGCTATTGTAGAGTACTCTAATCATGCATAACCAATGAATAGCAAGTGTTCAGAGAATTGTAGCCCACAGCAGTTGGAGGGGGAAAAAATAAATAAAAATAAATAATCTTTTGTGCCCCTTATTCTCCCAGCATATACATTCGTAGAATAACATTCAAACTGTCATCGACTTATACAGCCATTGTACTGAAATTGGGTTATCACTTGACAAATTGGGAAGAAAAGGCGAGAAGGTGTTTTATAGAGACAATTCTTTATATTAGGCTATTATAAAATGGCTTTTGCAAAGCTGGGTCTGGAGTCTATGTCTGATCATTGTAATTTCCCTCGGGGGCCAGGAACACAAACTTGAAAAATAGAGATCATTGAATCTGTCTATTGTAAGCGCAGCGAGATCATATTGCCAGCATGCCTGATCTGTTTATATATTCTTACATAGCAATATAAAGCAGTCCCCCCCCATTACTCTGGAAAACAAGCGGCCATATTACTCAGCAAGCAACATCCCTAGGACTTTATCACTTTCTGCTGGAAATTGGAGAGTTTACCAAGAGCTCTCTAGGAAACAGGAGAAACCTTGCCTGCGGATGGGCTATGGATACATAACACTCCCTTTGTGCAGATGGGCAAAGTGAAAAAAGCTGCCCTGCAAAATATAGCATTCACGTGCTGCCCTGCAGAATATAGCATTCATAGGCTGCAAAGCAATAAAGGAGGAACTATCTTGATTTGTTAACATATTTAATTCTCACAGGGGAGCACTTTTCATGATTTGTCATCGAGTACAAAAATACTTATTTTTGTCCAGTAAAAATGATGGAGGAATGGGCAACCCTGCTTGTGTGAGACTTGGGAACAAAACAAAAACCTGTTAAATATAAAGAGTTCTGATTGTGTCCACATTGATGTATGTTGATTAGGACCACTGAATACCTCCATCTTTTTGGACAGTTCCAACACCCCTGACATCCTGCTGTGTTTTGTCTACTTTGTTTCCCCTATTTAAAACAGGTGTGAACAATTTGTAAAAGGAGAAGTTCACAAAAGTTTGCATATTTTTACTAGTCGTGTCCCACAATGCCTTAAATGCAAGCTCTCTCCCATACAAGAGGCAGATGGACCACAAGTCAAAGTGTTCACTTTGAAAATAATTAGTAAGAAGATTTACTCGAAATAAAAAAAAATGGGGGATGTGCACTGCATTACACTTGGCACCCAAATGGCTCTGCTAGTTACAGCATGCTGAAGTAGCCAAGGTTTGCTTTGCACATTGTATTGGTCAGTACAAGGACTGGGCAGATAGAATGTTAGCTCGAGGAGCAGAGTAGCAGGCAGAGAATGTCAGCCCTTCAGAACCTGGTGTAAAGTAACAAATGTAGCAAACATTACACACTACATACACACACAGGGCTGGCTGGAATGTTGCACTGCAATAGTAGAGAACAATCAACTCATATTAACCTCAGCCAGGAGTTTGGATGAACCTTATGAAGAAGATTTAGCTTTAAAAAGTTCAGAATTTTTTTTATTTTATTTTTTAAAAACATTTTTGCAGGTACAACAGTCATCAGCAAGTTTATTTAATATTTAAACAGCATTTCAACGAATGAGAAATTAAAATAAATGAGATGTAATGGCAGCACGCTAACACAATGAATGATAGTAAAGTTGAGGTTACCTTCTCTCCAGTGACCACATGCAGACCCTCTCTGACCTTGGCGAAGGACCCTTCCCCCAGTTTCCTGCCGATCAGGTAGTTGCCCACCCTCTTGGTGTGCTGGAAGGTGCGCAGGGCGTCCCGGGACACGTTGCTCACACAGGGGGGCAGGAAGCTCTCTTCCAGGAGCAGAGGAGGCGGCTTCTCCCCGGCCAGGAACCTGGAGGGCGACTCGCCAAGCCCATCGCCCGCTGCAGCCGGCATCCTGACAAGAGAAAGACCCAGAGAGTGGTCAGCACACAAAGATCCAGGCTGGGACTCCCATCAATCTCAGCAGCCCCTGCTGCCTGTCTGTCTGCAGTGCTTGTAACTCCTAGGCAGCATGCAGGAACAGTGCCCTGTGTTATCAATGGAAGGGGGTTCACAGGGTGACTGAGTATCTCAGCATGGGGATAGCAGACAGCCCCCTGCCCATACAGATACAGCACAGGCTGGGACTGAGCTCTGTGTGTAAATGCCTCTTTCACTCAGATTTTGCAGTAATTTAATCCCATCACAGGCGGCGGGAACAGATGTGATCTAAAGCTCAGCGCTAGACACAAACCTTCAAACACTGAGCCTCCTCCTCCTGCACTCACTGACTGTTTAACCCTGTGATATAAAGCTCAGCACTAGACACAAACCTTCAAACACTGAGCCTCCTCCTCCTGCACTCACTGACTGTTTAACCCTGTGATATAAAGCTCAGCACTAGACACAAACCTTCAAACACTGAGCCTCCTCCCCCTGCACTCACTGACTGTTTAACCCTGTGATATAAAGCTCAGCACTAGACACAAACCTTCAAACACTGAGCCTCCTTCTCCTGCACTCACTGACTGTTTAACCCTGTGATATAAAGCTCAGCACTAGACACAAACCTTCAAACACTGAGCCCTCCTGCACTCACTGACTGTTTAACCCTGTGATATAAAGCTCAGCACTAGACACAAACCTTCAAACACTGTGCCTGCACTCACTGACTGTTTAACCCTGTGATATAAAGCTCAGCACTAGACACAGACCTTCAAACACTGAGCCTCCTCCTCCTGCACTCACTGACTGTTTAACCCTGTGATATAAAGCTCAGCACTAGACACAGACCTTCAAACACTGAGCCTCCTCCTCCTGCACTCACTGACTGTTTAACCCTGTGATATAAAGCTCAGCACTAGACACAGACCTTCAAACACTGAGCCTCCTCCTCCTGCACTCACTGACTGTTTAACCCTGTGATATAAAGCTCAGCACTAGACACAGACCTTCAAACACTGAGCCTCCTCCTCCTGCACTCACTGACTGTTTAACCCTGTGATATAAAGCTCAGCACTAGACACAGACCTTCAAACACTGAGCCTCCTCCTCCTGCACTCACTGACTGTTTAACCCTGTGATATAAAGCTCAGCACTAGACACAGACCTTCAAACACTGTGCCTGCTCCTCCTGCACTCACTGAGTGCCTTATGCACCAGAAATACTATAACAGGTTGACATCTGGCTGGCAAAGGACAATTTGTTAAAAAATAAATAAAAAAATACATACATACATACACACACACACACACACAAACACACACACACACACACACAAAATGATGAGTGTTGGCCAATCTTCTCTCTCTCTGTTATTTCTTTCTGGCATGGGGAGGGTGTTAACGTCTGTCTTTGGTAATGTTTATATTTATTTATTTATTTTAGAGGGTAGCTAGGTTACTAGGAACATAATGCAGCCTAGTGGTCACAATCATGGCTAACCCCAAAGTCAATTTCTGATGCTATTTTTGGGTGGAAACTAAAACAGCCAACATTTAGCCAACCACATGGTATTTGTTACTTCAAAATAAATCTATAAATATAAACTAAATACACGCCAGTAAATATAGTAAATAAGGCAGTTTTATATAGGACGGGCTATAAACGGATGTAAATGTTTTTTCACTAAACAGTAGTTGTGGTGAGTAGATAAGCAGGGGTCAAGTCCTGGGGAAAAAAGAGTGGGAACTCACCCAAGATCTACCTCCCCCACAAAAAAATAATTTATACGCTCGTATACATATTACATAGTTACATAGCTGAAAAGAGACTTGCGTCCATCAAGTTCAGCCTTCCTCACATATGTTTTTGCTGTTGATGCAAAAGAAGGTAAAAACCCAGTGTGAAGCGCTTCCAATTTTGCAACAAACTATGGGGGAAAATCCTTTTTGACCCCAAAATAGCAGGCAGATGTCTCCTTGGATCAAGAAGCTATTGCACCACTAATTAGAAATTATCTTCCAGCCTAACTGTGTGAACTCGTGTCCACTGCAGGCCAGGCTGTTTGGGCAGGAAGGCAGATGGGCGGTCAGTTGAGGTCCAGGTGGGTGGTCAGCTGAATTCCAGGCGGGCAGCGAGGGAGTGCTGATGTCACATTCTAGCTCCCGGCATCACTCTGCGGCGCTCAGGGGAGCTGAGCAAGGAGAGCTCACAAATCAGCTCTTTCTCGCCACCCCCTGACTTAAACCGGCCACCTGCCCCTCGCGAGCAAACAAGTCCTACAGGACCACTAACGCGAACGGTGTTCCTGCTGTGGAAAAAGTGCAGGAATGCCATTCCCACGCGTTCCTGCAGGACTCGAGCCCTGTAAATAAGTGACTTTAAAAAACTAAGGCAAAATAGCTAGGTTTGATTAAAATATATATAAATAATAAATAAGATGTCTAGGGCTGCACTCACCTGAACAGGCATACATTGTAAGGTGCTGCTGGGGCCAATATATACAACAAACAAAATACACAATCCAGCACACTCGCTTATTAACTAAACAATGATTTCAAATCTCACAGATTGTAATAGTTTTATTTAAATACACCTTACCTAGGTAAAAAACAATGGGGGTTTAGTGACATTATATGATCATATATTGCATAAGCCTACCGCAACGTCAATGTACCCCATTCTTGACAGGTCCTGCAGAGATTCCCAGGAGGAAGTATTTCCCAAGTAAGTGGATTAATCTCATAAGAGCAAGAATGGGGTACATTGACGTTGTGAGATTTGAAATCATTGTTTAGTGAATAAGTGAGTGCGCTGGAATGTGTATTTTGTAATTCGGCTATTTTGACTTCAGATTTAGAAGTAAACTCATCATAACTCGTAACAAATCTCTACATGCTCCTTATCTTAGGGCAGCACTTTACATGTCCTACCCAACAGTGTGAAGAAGTGATTGGCTTCTGGTCGCCAATAGCCTGGGCACTTCCTTTCTGAGAATTCTTGTTCTAAAAGATACTTGTCCTAAAAAAATGTCCCTCCCTCCCTTCGCCAGCCTGGAGTGAATGCATGCGCACTGAGCCAGCAAAATGGTCCAATCACAGTCTTCTCCATGTGAGAGCTTGACCCGTCGCACCAGGGGCCCTGCAAAGCCTCCTCTTCAGACGCAATCATCTTGTTTTCACACAAACAATACAACAGGATTTTTTTTCGTAAAACACAGAATTGTTTGGAATAAAAACCAAAAAATGCTAAATTTAGGTTGAAATTTAAAAAAATCACTAACTTATCTATAGACTTATCTATAGACAGGTTGGCTATTGTACCCCAAATTCTAACCTTTATTTTAAAATCTGGTTTTCAATTCACTTCAGTTCAGTGTTTAATTCATAAGGTGAAATTGTAATTACATAGCTACTTATTAAAAACATACAATAGTTAAAGGGCCACGTTAATCACCATAACCACTACAGAGCACCAGCTGACCCTCTGAGCCAATGAAAGCGGTTTAAAACCTTTAAGAGTTGTGCTGTAGTAGTTATGGTGCATCAAGTGTTCCATTTACATTAGCAGTTATTACAAAGATGCAGAGAGTGAGTAACGACAATATTGTCTCTGTAATAAGCTTCTGATATTTTAGCAAGCTGCCAAAGACGCCTTTGAGCACTTAAATAGTTAAACAGCTCATCCTGAGCTATGTACTCGACAATTTCAGTATTTCATCACAAGTAGTCAGCTAAATTCTCAGCTTTGAAGCTTGTGACAATGACTGGAGGAACACAATCGTACAAAGTCGTTTGAAATTCATGACACGGCACCTCTATAATTAGCGTACAATGCTCAAGAGACAGACAGCGTGTGTGATTTCAAGTCAAACATCCTTGTTAATATATTGGGTTTTTTTTTCCCTAAGTTTATATATTTTTTCATATTAACTCAATCCATGCCAGAGCGCCACATTATTATAGTTTATATTATGGTGAGTAAAAGGAAATGACTACACATCATTTTTAACAACACGGCCGGGATGATTTAATCTTGTTGAAATCGCATTCACACTGGTAAAGTTGTGATGTTTTTTCTTGGTGTTTATCATAATACCCATACTTAAAGTCAGAGGAGAATTATTCCTGAAGCAACAACTTTCAAAGAATCCGTGCAGTGAGCGAAACCCCTGCTAGAATATAATTCTTATTTAAATTATAAAGGATCCTGTATAGTATAGGAGGAAGGGAGGCCAGCATTTACAGCTTCTGCCGTATGGAGAGAGACTGACCGAAGTCCTGGTAGAGACCTTAAGCCTACCTTTCCAAATGCTTTAATATTTTTGGATAAACTTTTAAATGATCTAATGTTATGAAAAATAGTAAAATTTTTCAATATTTTTATATTTTTGGTATATTTCTATTTATTTAATATATATATATATATATATATATGTGATATATTTTTTTATATTTAATTATGTTGCAAAAAATTGTTTGAAAAGTTTAGCCAAAAAAAACCCAAATATTAAAACATTTGGAAATATTAAACATCAATACTAAATATTAAATTAGGACTGGCAGCATAGGACAGAGAGAAATGTTTCTAAACTTAGTGGGCTAGATTTAATTTTTTATTAATTAGCAAAGGAAACGTTTATAGTTTCACTTGAAACCTGCTTTTCCTTGTCTTTTTTGTCTACAAAGCTAATCCCACCTTTATGGTAAAAGATTAGAAATATCATTTTATACCATGACTTCACTGGCGTGGCCCCTGCGATAAAGGATGTCAAAGAAGACCACATGCTGAAATTTAGGAGAATACTGAACATTTAGAAGAAATGGTCCCTAACAAAGGTTTGGGTATTGATGCAAAAAACAAAAAACAAAAAAAGTGAGAACCTAGGTCAAAGCTCTAATTCGTTGTTCTACTTAGAGCCCAGTAAAATGAGCACGTACTTAAATGCTTCAAGGTGGAGTAGCAGTCGTTTTAATACAGACTGTATTATGTATGCATTGTATACTAATCCTCTGTAAAAGGGCCTTGTGTCACCTAAGCTAGTGCTTTGCGGACTCTTTATCTGATCATTTGCATCTCACCTAATTTACCACCTGCTGCAGTGTCAGGGAGTTAAAGCTAACCACTTCCTTTGATCTACCCCATACCTGATTCCCAAAAATGGTTTACCATTCTACTTTACTTTGAAATGTATATTCTCGCTGTTGGATAGGGGTGAAAAACATCTCCCCACCTTCAGTTAGGTTGAAGCACGTGAAAATAAAGCCACATTTTTAACAGGGCACTTTTTTTAACTTAAATAAGTGGCATAGTGGGGTCTCATAGCAAATATTATACATATTAACGTTTTGCTACTATAAATGACACCCCGTCTGCAGGTATGTACACTGTGTTAAGCGTATTCTGGACATAGATGGGAAGAGACTAGTTATGTTTGGCCGAATAATTTTCCCAGACTTGAAATTTTGTTCTGGATTTCTGACGCTCGTTTAGTTTTTTGGGGTAATTCCAAATTCATCTATGGAAAAATATTTACCAAAATGGGCGTGAAAACGGACCAATCAGTGTACTGCAAAATATATACATGACAGATGTAACCAATAGAGGACAAAGAGGAGGTGGAGTAAAAAAACCAACCTATATTATATTAATTTAACTTTATATATAGATTTATTGTTATCTATTTTACTGCCCCTTTTTCTCTTTTCGGTTGGTCATTTCTCACTTGATCTGTGAATAGAATCAACATTTAGTTGCTATTATCTATCTTGTATATCTATTGTAATTTTCCCCATAAATTATCTATTTTTTAGGCTGCACAAGCAGAACTCAGAATACCGAATATCTGGCCATCATGCTAGTCGAGTGACACTTCTGGGATATGGAATTCAGCTGTACAGACGATCGGCCCGAATATGGCCAAATCATAATTCAGACGACTGAATGCACTAGTCTAGCAGATACCATTGAGATAAGCCTCATTCCATATCTAGTATTTACCCAAATAGAAGTGGAAGTCTGGTACCTGTTTACACCTGCACATAAAAAGCACTTCTTTACATTTGACACTACAGAGCATTATGCTTATCTTGCTTTACCTTGCATTCTGGAGCTACAGTTTAAGCTGCGGTGGTTATGGTGCATCTTTCTAAGAAAGCCTGACTTATAACCCAGGCCGATATATTCACATTCCCTTTACTGTGCTGTAAAGAGAGATCCCTCAGGGTTGCACACGTTATAAATCGCGATCATGAGCTATTTTAATTGTAATTAAAGTAAATAACATACACATTAGAAATAGTGATTTATAAAAACGTGTCGGATGCGGTAATGCAGTAAGCTTGCAAACAGCCGAGGTAACACAAGATCC